CTTTATTTTAGTTGTCTTAATTTCCCTCTCTTACCTGGTTTTGTTTTTTATTTTTGCTCTTACTGTTTTTAATCTTTGAGTTTGTCTAGTGTTGTGGTGATAATTGTGTTTTATGATCTGCTCAAATGTCCTGTACAGCGCTTTGATTTTAGCTGTGGCTGACTGAAAACGCTTTATAAATAAAGTTGAGTTGAGTTGAGTTGAGAAGGCGCTGAGGTTCTGGCAGTCCGCTCCTCAAGTACTCCCGGCTGGACGAGGTGATTGGGGTGCTGGATGATGTCACGGGTTCAGGGAGGCGTGTCGTGGCAACCCAAAAATGCGGACAGAACCGGGGAATACAACAGGCGCTCAGCGGGCTGAGTCCGGCTGCTTTCTGTCCAGGGCCTGAGCAGCTCGGCGCTCTCCAGGGACCAGGTGGAGCTCCTGGGGAACATGGCCTGCACCCTGGAGGGACCCGTCATCGAGGGCTCCGACTCGCTGATCCTGGAGAAGCTCAAGACCTGCAGCGGCCTCTCAGAAGTCCAGGTTTCTGCAGTGGAGAAGCTGCTGCTGTCCGGAAACACGAAATACGGGTAATCTGATTATGTTCTGTTTCTGTTTCTGCGTTTAGCAGACGCTTTTCTCCAAAGCGACTTACAGAGTAGACCCAATATTCCATTTCTCATCACTGTGAGGGTTTTTTCCTGTTTATCTAATCTTACCGGCCGGCATTCGATTTAGGGGTTTGATTGACTGCTGATCCAGTGGTCACTGGTTCAAATCCCACTCAAATCTTCTTGAACCTGGTGATTATCAAATGATTCCTCCGTTCAGCCTTTATTCTTCAACTCTTCTGCTTTCTCCATTCAGCTTTTGGCATTCTCACATTTTTTGTAGTTTGTTTTGTATTTGTTTCTTTGCACATGAGCATATATTTAATAGTTTCTACTTATGCGCCGTATTTTTTCTTATATCAAGACCAACTTTTATTTCAAATTTTTACTGTTGTCTGGGAATATGAGAGCAAAACATTTTGATTCTGAATATATCTGAGTTTGTACTACAATAAATGGACAATGAGAGCTGACTTTGACTTTGACAAGAACTGTCTTATGTAGAGACTAAAATCTGTACAAATTAAAAGCTATTAAACACCCACTAGGGGCTAAAGATACACATGACAGACTGGATGTTCATGGGGTGAGAAATATAAAGTCAGAGGTAGTTGAGTTGTCCAAAAAGTATGAAAATCCAAAAATGGAATAACATTCTTAAGGGAGCTGCAGAAGATTCCTATCCAGACATTATTCAATTGGCAAGTTTTGTTTTGTTTTTTTAGTCTTATCCCTCTCGACAGCTTCGACTGAGCCGTGGGGAGAAAGTACAGCGTCAGTAATGATACATTCATGTTATTTCACATCAAACTGAAAAGGTTCCTGCAAATCAAAAACTAATTTCACATCCATTCGTTACAACAAACAAAGAATTTCAGCTCAGTTCTTGCAAACCGCCATTTTCTACATTAATTCAATGGGAAACAGAGCACAACGCCGTCTTTATCTTGGTCTCAGTTTAATCAGGACATGTCATCTTCCCTTTCAGGGATCCTTCCACCTGGGAGAGGAAAACTCTGGAGGAGCTGGAGAACCTTCCTCTCTACTTCACCAGAGACATCTGGGACAAAATCAGTTTTGTACGTATCACTCAGAATGAGATCCTTTCGAAATGTGATTAAAAATTAAAGTAAATATTTGTGTATTTTTTCCATCCTTTGCAGTCAGTTAAGAAAAGGTTCCTCAAGAGATTCATGCCCAGGCTGAGGAAGAAGAAGACGCAGAAGAAGAAACTGAAGGCGCTGTTTAAAACGATGAGGCCCACGAGGAGCAAGCGGGGAGCAGGTAGGTGACAGGACCCGCTGGCTTCTGGAGAATGGAGTCCACCGGCTGATCAGCGGCTGTTCTGATTGGCTCAGGCTGCACCGTGGGCAACATCACCCAGCTGACGGTGAACGACGACTCCTTCCCCTTCGGCTACGACGCCGCGCAGTTCGACCTCTGCCTGGACCTCCCCGTTCTGCGAGACAACCTCGACTCCATCTGCGAGAAGGTGGACGACGACGACCTCCAGAGAGTCGTCCTGAAGAAACTCAACCAGGTCCTTTGGGATTTTGGCGGGAAAAATCCACAAAAACTGAGAACTTCTGTTTCTGTTTATGACGCTTTTCTCCAAAGCGACTTACAGAGTAGACCCAATATTCCATTTCTCATCACTATGACAATAAGATATCCAGAGGAGAAACCCTGATCAGAGTCAGTGGTGAGATAGAGATAGAGGTAGAGGGACTACAGAAGGAGCTGTGGGGGGTAGAGGTACGGGTTAGGGTTAGGATAGGAGCTGTGGGGGGGAGAGGTACGGGTTAGGGTTAGGATAGGAGCTGTGGGGGGTAGAGGTACGGGTTAGGGTTAGGATAGGAGATGCTCTTTGAAGAGGGGGTCTTCAGGAGTTTCTGAAGACAGACAGGGATCTGCTGTTCTTGTAGCTTGGTAGCTGGTTCCTCCATCTTGGAACGACCTACCAGTTGAAGTCCAACCCTTTCTGACCTGCGACTCCTTCCGGGTCCTTCCAGGCTTTCCCATCAGGGGTTTCTGATCAGGAAGTCCAGATGCTCGGCTCTGTGTCCCGCGTGGCGTCTCTGGACGACATCTCCAAGTGGAACGTCACTCAGATCGACACCCTGGCAGCTCTCATGAAAACCGAAGATGGGACCTGGGATTCGGCTCAGGTAGAGGGACTCTCAGAGTCCTCCAGGCTTACAGACCAGCGGCGTTTGGCCTCATGCTGTGTTTCTCTTCCTCTTTAGAGCAAGGAAATCATCACCAAGTACCTGAACAGCTCCGGGAGCTCCCTGGGAAGCACGGAGCTGAACATCATTGACTCCAACCTTTGCTCTCTGGACACCAGCACGCTGAGGACCATCAGCTCAGATAGCATCAGGTTAGCACCACCTGAGATCTGTGGGGCTTTTATTAACTGGCGGATGCAACACTGAGTGTCTCCTTAAACTTCTGCAGAAACGCCAACCCTCTGAATGTGGGGTCGTGTTCCACTGAGCAGAAGAAAATCTTCTATGAGATCGCCAACACCTCCTTCAGCGACCAGCGGGGCAATCCCACCAGCTTCTACAACCTAATGTCGCCTTATCTGGGTAACCTAAGAACCTAGATAGATAGATAGATAGATAGATAGATAGATAGATAGATAGATAGTCTTGTAAAAGACTGAAAAGGAGCCTAGCTAAATCGCTGTGCTACACATTTACATGCTAAGCTAGCTAAGAACTAAGAACTTAGGTTTCCCTGCCATTCGGAGAGCCCCTGCTTTAACCCCCTCCCTCTGACAGGTGGAGCTTCTCTGGTGGATGTGGTGGCGTTTTCAACCCAGAACATCAACATGGACGTGGACGTTTTCCGGAGTTTGGATACGAATGTCATCAACGTAAGTCGAAGATGCCCCGGCTGTGCTGGGTTAGAGTCCAGATTTAGCTTCCGTTCTGCTCAGGTTCCTGTATTAACGTGAGACCGTCTACAGGATCTGACGGTGGCTAACGTGGGGGGCCTGATGGGCAGCCATTTGCCCGACCTCAAGCTGTTTGAGAACGACACCGTGGTCCAGAGTTGGGTCAAATCGCAGCTGCAGTCGGACCTGGACACGCTGGGCGTCGGCCTGGTCGGCGGCAGGATCGCCTCCACCACCGAGGCACCCGCCAATGCTACGACCAATGGGACGAGCTCTATGACCCCATCCCCAACCAATGGGACCAGCTCTATGACCCCATCCCCAACCAATGGGACCAGCTCTATGACCCCATCCCCAACCAATGGGACCAGTTCTATGACCCCATCACCAACCAATGGGACGAGCTCTATGACCCCATCCCCAACCAATGGGACGAGCTCTATGACCCCATCACCAACCAATGGGACCAGTTCTATGACCCCATCACCAACCAATGGTACGAGCTCTATGACCCCATCCCCAACCAATGGGACCAGTTCTATGATACCATCGCCAACCAATGGGACCAGCTCTATGACCCCATCCCCAACCAATGGGACCAGTTCTATGACCCCATCAACAACCAATGGTACTAGCTCTATGACCCCATCACCAACCAATGGGACCAGTTCTATGACCCCATCACCAACCAATGGGACCAGTTCTATGACCCCATCCCCAACCAATGGGACCAGCTCTATGACCCCATCACCAACCAATGGGACCAGTTCTATGACCCCATCGCCAACCAATGGGACCAGTTCTATGATACCATCACCAACCAATGGGACCAGCCCCATGATACCATCACCAACCAATGGGACCAGCTCTATAACCCCATCCCCAACCAATGGGACCAGCCCCATGATACCATCGCCAACCAATGGGACCAGTTCTATGACCCCATCCCCAACCAATGGGACCAGTTCTATGACCCCATCCCCAACCAATGGGACCAGCTCTACGACTGCTTCATCAAGTGGGTCAATGAGCACAACAACACAAGGTAAGAAAAAAGGAAAAAATAGGTTTTGTAACTCTGGACGAGTTGCTGAGAAATATGTCCTGTGGTCTGAATTTCCTGCCAGGAGAAATCGACGGGATTAAGCTAAATCTTAAAGTTTCTGTAGCACATTTAAACTAAATTTAGCTAACTCGACAAAGCCCAACTGAAATCCATATATTTCTCCTTTATGTTTTGTATAAACGTCTGTAGGGAACCAATTCTAAACAAAAGAAATGTCACAAACTAGATTTTGACAACAAAAAAAACAAAGAAAACCGAGCATCCAGAATAGATATTTGATTAAGAACTAAACAGCAGTAATTATGCCTCATTTTATATGCAAAACTCATCAAAGTAAAACATTAAAACATGCAGTTACGTTATTATCTGCTGGTAAGTTCATGGTTCATAATCTTAATAACTGTTTTGTACTCCCCTTTATCTTTTATTTAGTTTCCCTTCATTTGAATCCTCTGATTCTGAACCGTCTGATGTCTTTCCAGGTACGAGTGGAGGAGTGGAGCTGAGAACGTCTCCTGTTTCCTTACGTCTGGCGGCTTTACTTCTATCTGTGCTCCAAATGTTTCATTAGCTTACTACCAGCCTAAAGAAATGTGTAACATTAGCATCTTAAAACATACTCGCTATCTCTAATTTCTCTCTTTTTACCTTAAATCAATATTATCTGTGATATTTATTGAAAGTAAAATGTTTTAGTGTAACTTTATCATTCACGTTTTACACTATTTGGGTTGTAAAACAGATTTTTAATGAACCAAATATAAAGGTCATATTATAATTGTGTTATGTGTTTCAAGTGGCAATGGGGTTTGATTATAATAGAAACTGTTTACAAACAGACATATCTTTCTTTGTGAAAAGTGCATCTGAAATTAACTGTTTAAATAGATCCCAATTGCTGTCGTCTCAACTGTATGTTTAAAACTAATAAAGTCATATTAAACAATCTAATGTTTGAGATTCTAAAAGATTCAAATGATGAAGGCCAACTGGACAAGTTCTTTATTATTGAAGTCATTGTTCAAGACATGCAGAACTTTTATTTATTTATCCGGAGTCCTCTCTGCTGCCAGGTCAGGTGTACATGGCGAGGTACATCCACTGTTAAAAAAGGGGATAAAAGGAGGAGGAATCAGGTCTGTTTGTCTTCAGAAAGACGTCCTGTAATAATAAATCCATTTATTAATCTACCTCCGATTGGCGAAGAGTCATAGCCGTTCCATCGGAAAGCTGCCCAAAGATTTCTTTAGGGAAAACAAGAAAAAGCACTTTTTATTTATCCAGAAAGGAGACAACATGAATCTGGACTAAAACTGCGCTTCAAAAACGGAGGAACGGGACGGAAAAGCCCAAAGAAGTGGACCGAAACGTAAACAGGCATAAAGAATAAGGTTGGATTTTTAAACAACTGCTTCATCTAAAAAGAAAAAGCTCAATTACACAGTTTGTCTCTTTTCCAAGTAAACAGGAGACGAATTAGCGACTGAATCAAACCCAGGAGGTCCCAGCTTTCTTCCTAAAGCAGCGGTCCCCTTGGACAACTATGCTAGTTAGGGGGGATGGAAAGCACCCTTTGCCTTCCGAGAACAAAACGAGCATTTCAGATGTTTTCAAACGGACTCACGGGACATGCACTCGAAGCGAAGGATGAGGCCGATGAAGCTCTCCAGGGTTATGGTCCCCGAGGAGCCCCCGTACCGCATAGCCAGAAGATTCAGCATGTCATCACTGACCCCATTTCCTAGATAGATAGATAGATAGATAGATAGATAGATAGATAGATAGAT